GGGGGGGGTACTCTGAAGTTTTAACTTTTAAGGCATTTGTTAGTTACACAAACGGGAGAAGGAGAGAGGATTGCAACTTACCGTGCGGCCAGAGATCCAAGATTGCTGCACTTAAGATGTACATGGACACCGGTACGGCCAGATACATGGCTGGTTATCAGGGCATGGAGAGGCACTGATAAATTTTCAGACTGTGGCAAGGTTGGGAAAATAATAGCCACAAGTGGCCATTATGTCATCTTTACATGCCCAAGATAACATTGGCATGACCGCAAGCACACCAGGCTGTGATGCATCACCCTACCACAGGAGAAAATGCACAAAGGATGGATATGACTCGCACGAATCCAGACCGGGTCCTACGTTAAAAAAAAAAAAAAAAAAAGTACCGACGCTTGACGGTAATCTCCACCCCCTCCAAACACCCTTGCTACTCACTCTCTGAGACCTGCTTCGCTACTGCTCTCTCGTCTCTGAGACGGACATTGGTCAGTGTTGGCTGCACCAAACTTCACATCATCCTCTTCCCGCCCCCAAACCTTTTTTTTTTTTTTTTTTTTTTTTTTTTTTACCACTTCCAAGTTCCAACCCACTGGCTTTCTTTCTGGTCCATCCATGTTTTTCCTTTGCTCACCTGTGTCAGTTTTCTTTTGGGGTACAGAGCCGGGTAATGGGCCCAGTCGCTCAAATTGTTCTCTGCATTTTCATAAGGGGCGCCGGCAGGTGTTGGTCTTCGCGGAGGCAAAGTCGTAAATATAACCTTAAGACCATGCGCGACCTTTTTAGAGAACAAAACAAAAAAGGGCTACCTTTCAGGATGGAAGGCGACATCATAAATATAACGTGTACCGCATTCTTTGGACGGCATGGGACCGAAATGGCTGGCAGCGCCAGCCAAAACAATACAGAAAAGGTTGGCGCTCAGTTGTTGTCCTCCGCCTTGGCAAAAAGAGGTTTGGAGGTAGTGGTGGTTTCAGAAAAAAAAAAAAAAAAAAGTTAACTTTGCGGTTCGGTTCATTCGATGTACAATTGATTCTCCCTCATCACAATCTCCACAGAGTCTACACCATTTTTTTTTCTTTTTCTTTCGACCTGAGCAACGACTAGCGCGAATTCCTTTCGAATAATGGCATTTTTCAATTTGTTGGAAAAAAATCGAAAATAGATCTTCTCTTTGCGCCCTCTCTGCCTCAGCATTCCTCTCGTCCACTGTTTCTCTTCCACCCCCTTCCTGTACACATGGACCCTCCACCTCCATATCCCTTCTGTACACATGGACCCCGAGGCTCCCCAAAGGTCCCAAACTGCAGTTAAGAGCTCAAGTCCCCCCTTCTTATGGCCCTTCTTTTTGTGTGCCCTGCCAGCCGTTGTGCTGCCCTCTTCATTCTCGCTTTTTCTGTACTAGGCGTTGCATTCCCTGCCCGGCTGCTCTGCTCCCCCCAAGATGCGCCGCCTTCCGTGCTGTTTACCCCCACAGGCCGGCTGTTCTTTGGCCTTTGTGGTCCTCCTTGATTCTACAACCCCTGGACACCCTCTCCTTTGAAGGCCGCCGCTGGCTTTCATCAGACCCTTGAGCTGCGAGCTTCCTGCTCCCCTCCACAGGACCCCTTGTCGACCCCTCTCTTCGTTCCTGCATGCTCGTCGCCCGACCCCCCCTCCTCCTTTTCACACTCTCTGCAAAGGCCGCCCTTTAAAATTAAAAAAAAAAAACAAAGGGGAAAAAAAAAAAAAAACAGGTCCTCCTGGGCCAAGCTCCATATCCATTCTGCGGACCGTCAGTCCCAGTCCCGTCGCTATTTCTCTGGCAAGTCAGAATAAAATACGTAGTAATCGAATAAAGGATTGACACGGCCCGGGGACCCCTGACAGGTCCCTGTTAACCGCTTGTGCAGCCTTCATAGCTTCCTTTGGAAGCATTGATACCCTCTTGAGTCAAAACACTCCCCCTCTCACGGGGACTACTTCCCCTTAAAAAACTTTCATGCACCCTGTTTCCCTTTCAGGCTGTTTTATCTCTGGGTGTAGACAGCGGGGAGGGTGGGGGGGTGTGATCCGTAGTCCTGAGCTCTGCTGCAAGCGGCACTTTGTCATCTGTCGATCTCGCAGGCGGCAGCATTACAGGACTCCCCCTGCCAGTGGGTGCATCATTGTGGTCATCGTTATCATCCAGGTTGTCGCCATCACAGCCGTCATCGCGAGAGTCGCAATCATCGTCAGAGCAATACTTGATCGGTTTATATCCACGGCACAACGCTTCCAGCAGCCAGTCATCTTCCTCTTCTTCCTCGTCGTCAAGAGGCTGCCAGCTCTCGCTTTTCGTAGGAGGGGCACATGGCCTCCATTTACCATTGTTAGGCTTCTTGCTCCAACCACTGGCCCGCCGTTCGATCTCCTCGGGATCTAATTGCCTGCGCTTTAAGCACCCCTCCCCCCGCGGCTCATCGTCCGGAACGTCCCTATCGTTAGCCCACGGGTACACGTTGCCATAGCGCTTCTTGTTTACTTCTATAAGCCTCAAGTTCCAATGAACATAAATCAGTTTCTCCAGCATTTCCCACGACATCTGCCCACGTTCCCTGTTAACCATGCTCGGCATGGACCACCACTTCCTCTCACAGGGAGAGGCAATGGACCATGTGTTCAATGCGCGAACGGCGACCGACTGCAGAGCCGGATGGTCATTGCCATGTTTCGCCCACCAAGTCGTACCGTGTACGTCAGCGTTGCTGGCATCCAGGTCACCCTGCTTCCCTCCCCACGCGTCACCCTCCGAAGGATCTCTTCTGTGGAAGAGGGTGAGAGACGCAAAGGCTGCCGCAAACTCGTCCGACTGACGGCCGCCACAGACCTTTTCCAAATACAGTACGGTGTTTTCGATCGCAGATTGTTGGAAGCTTTTGATGCCACCATCGTTCCTGTTCGTCGGATCCAAAAGATAGGCCGCGGCATACGCAGGAGTCTTTATCATCCCAACCCTCAACTTGACGGTATCCACCAAGTCCGCTTTTGCAGGGCGTCCGCCCTCTGTTCCAGGATAAGCCCGGTATGCCACACCTTGCTGCAACGCCGAGCGTGGGTGTCGAGCATCGTCATCAAATCGATGATGGGCTCAAGTAAATTCACAACCTGCTGCACCCTTCCCCACCACGTGTCGTCCCTTACGAGATGGAACATCCTCTGCGCCGACTCGACCAGTCGGTCGGCCCAAGGCGTCAACTTCCACCCCTGCGAGCTTACCAACTCGTCTAAGACCCACCGCATCTCCTGCAGCCTCTTCAGCATCAGCAAATCGACCCCAAACACGACCTCCTCGGGTTTGATCAGCTCCTTGCACCCTTTGATCTCTTTCATCATGGCAAGAGGCCGCCGATGACACTTCACGAAGAGGGTGATATCCCGACCCTCCAAGATGACACTTTCTACCCATGGATTGCTGTGGAGATCCTTCATCAGCAAATTACACCAGCTGACAGCACAAGGAACCCAGGGGATGCTACTTATGACCTTAGAACCGTGCATCGACAGAATTTTCACAGTGTCTACGTTGACGAGCGCCAAATATGTGACTATGGCATTAATGATCCGATTAGTGCCGACTTCAGCGATCACATCGGCCCACTCCTTTGCCAGCGCAGCAGGAGACTTTCGCAGTTTCTAAGATCTTTAGTCTTGACCAGACACATACCAGTCTCGCCTCCCAGGAGGAAGTTCATTATGTCGGAAGTGGACGTGATGCCGTTTGTTAACAAACTGCAGCCCATCTTCCACGTAGCCATCAAAAGCACAGCAGTTTCCTGTAGACCATCCATCACAGCATCAAGAAGGGTAGTCTAATACCCTTGTATTAAAGGGGGAGGCTTATTAGAAAAAGGTTAAAACTTATTAGAAGGGTGTTAATAAGTGCATCATATATGGGGGGTGAAACTTTGGATCCGTCATGCACAACGTCCATGTCGAATCAATGCAAAGCATTGTAAGTACTGCTCAGTCAAAACACGGTCAAGTGCGATATGTCCATCAAGACATCCGTTAAAATTGGAACGATTCAAAGAAGATTAGCATGACCCCTGCACATGGACGACATGCATAAATCGAGAAAACAGGGGGTGAGGAGGAGGTTAAGTGAGATGTCGCATGCATGAGAGAACCTGGTTCATGGTACGCTATTATTAGTACAAACTGTGTACTATAATTAGCACATGCTATACCATTACATATTACTATTTATTAGCACATGTACTTCTGTGATTTTTTATTATTATTATTTTTTTTTTTCAACGCACATGCATTTTACCGTTACTAATGCAAGCTGTACACTTATTATATTGGCAGACACAGAACACAATAGGTTGATCGGTAAACAGTAGGATTTCCCAAAAAAAAAAAAAAAAAAAAAAAAAAAAAACAAACAAACAAACAAACAGTAGGTTGGCCTGACAAGCTAGCATTACAGCTAGTTCACCTGCATGCGAGTTGGAAGAACGACAAGAAGAGGAAGGCATGCATATCATGTGGCATAAGGTGTGGTACCCACACGTACAGCCATTGGCCACAACGTTAAGACAGCAAATCTTGACAGCCAGATCCTTGTGAGAGGACCTCTTAGTTCTTGTGTGGGAACCATTGGATCCTTGTGTAAGGACCACTGGATCGTTCTGTTGGGAACCATTGGATCCTTTTGTTAGGCACCATTTGATCTCCTTGTATGCAGGCCTCTGGAATCTGTATCATGTCGGGACCAGAAGATTGCGTGGGGACCACTGGATCCCCTTGTGTGGGGACCACTGTATTTTTGCATGGGAACCACTGACGCTTCAGTGGAAACCACTGGATCCCCTTGTGCAGGGACCAGTGGATAGTGTGTGGAAAACTGGATCCCCTTGCATGGGGAGCAGTAGATTGTGTGGGTGCCACTGGATCGTTGCATAAGAACCACTAGATCCTTGAGTGGGGACCACTAAATCCAGCTGTTGGGTGACAATTTAATTCTTGTTTGGAGGCCCCTGGTATCTGAACCACTGGATTGGTTAGGTGTGGACAGCTGAATCCTTCTGTCACGCGGAGAGAAATGAGAGAGAGAGAGAGAGAGAGAGAGAGAGAGAGAGAGAGAGAGAGAGNGAGAGAGAGAGAGAGAGAGAGAGAGAGAGAGAGAGAGAGAGAGAGAGAGAGAGAGAGAGAGAGAGAAGGTGGAAGGATCACCTCACATGTGTGGCTGAGCAGGCTACGCCCAACGTATCACCGATCCATCCTTGGAACCTCCTCACCAAGAAAGCACAGGGAAATACGGGGCAGTACCGGTCCTAACAAGGATTTAACTGCCAGAAACAGGGGCAAACCGTTGGTGGGGAGTTGGAGCATACTCACCTTGGGACTTCCCTGTATGCATCTGACCTCAATCATGGTCAGAAACACAGGGGATAAGGAGTACCAGTTGACCGAAATGATTTTTGCAAAAAGGCACTACCGATCCCCCGAATTTGGGAAATGGTGGTTTCTCAAAAACTGTTTCGGGCAAACGGTAGCAGTGGGACGCAAAAAATGAAAAAAAAAAAAAACTTCAATCAAGCAAAAAAAATGCGCCAGTTGGCCACCAGAATTATTCTTTCTCTTCTTAGATTTTTTTCCTGTTTCTTTCCCGCAAAGATCAGCATCTCATGTATGCACATGATTTTGTTCAGATTTGTTTTGCACATGTTCTTAACACGAAGAATTGTCAAAGTTGACGAACTATTGTTTTGGCCAACCGCCACTGGCCTACCAATCCACAGCCCCCCGCACCCCCCTACAGCAGCATAGACACTGCATTTCTGTTTTTCTTTTTTTTTTTTTGGGTTTATACTATATAGTAACTTTATACCTGTCATCCTTAACATTTTTATTTTTTTTTGGGGGAGGGACACGGAGGGGGGGCTACACTGGAATTCCAATTCCAAAGGAACCGAGGACTGCTGATCTAATCCCTTAAACCCTAAAACCCAAAACCCTCAAATAGTAAAACCCCCAAACCTCCGAAACCATAAATCCAAACAATGGCAAACCCTCAACCCTAAACCCTTTTTTTTTTTTTTTTTTTTTTTTTTTTTTCGACAGAGTTACAAACCCTCAAAAATAAAAAAAGCCCTAAATACCCTCTAAAGCCTAAACCCTAACACCTTGTATCCTATAATCTAAACCCTAAAACCCTAAATCCTAAAACCCTAAATCCTAAAGCCCTTAATCCTCAACCCTCAATCCCTCGCCTTCTCAAGCCCTGAACCCACAGACCCTCCACTCTCACATCCCTCACATTACTACCTCCTGTAGTTCCTATGCATATGATTCTGTACTCGCTTTCAACTGCTGATCAGCATGACGCCTCGCACCAACCACATACGACCGTGTTTTTTTTTTCCCCTTTCCAATCCCCTCCCTCCTGTCCTCCCCTACTCTTTTCTTGGGGGGGTGGAGAAAAGTTGATTTTTTTATTTCGAAACGACTCCTCGCACCAACCGCATATCACCGTGTTTTTCTTTTTGCCCTTTCCAATCCCCTCCCGTATGACCGTTTTCACCAGCCACGACCTAAAATCCTCAAACGCTCAAACCCTAAAACCTTCAACCCTGAAACCCTCGATCCTCAACCCTCAACACAACCCTCAACCCTCCACTCTCCGATTACTACCTCGTGTACCTCCTCTACATATATCTTATGATTCTGTAGGCGCCTTGGACTGCTGATCAGCATGATGCCTTGCATCACCTGCGTGACTTTTTTTTTGGTTTCCCGCTCCTGCCCAATCTCCTCCCTCCTCTTCTCTCCTCCTTTTTTTTTTGCAGGGGGTAGAAATTTCGAATTTGATTTCAAAACAAGGGTAGGGTTGGGGATGTAAGACCGTTTTGACTAGTCAGGGCTCCAGCTGATGCTCAGTCCTTGCTGCTGACGAGTGCCGTCAGAATGGATGGAAACACCGAAACGTGCTTCTTCAACTCCGTCAAGCTTGACAAAATTTGCCGTCTTATCTCCCAATGTCTCTCTGTTTGTGTGTGCACCCGACAAAATTATTGATTTGCCAATCCAGTCATAAAGAATCCGAAAAGTCCAAAACGCTGCTTGTAAGGTATATTCCCAATATATCCTTCATCACATCCAGCCAGGACAAAAATGAAAAACACTGACCGATATTGAGAGGGGAAATTTTGTCTGGATCCCTCCCCAAAGTCAGCAAATTTTGTATGGTGCCCAACGAAATTCATTAATATTTATTATTTTATCGTACGCCCCTTTGATGCACGCTGAACATTTGGTGATGTCCCAACGCTGGCCGCACCTTCTGCCATCAGTTCGTGACTGCCGCCCTTCAGTTCCCTTACTACGGATGCTCTGTCCACCTTCTCATTATCATTATCGAGGGAGGCCAGTCCCGTGATTGCATATTCCCGACTGAGGTCAGAATGGGATCAGGTGTTTTCACGTCCTACAATAGCACCCGGATACTCGGAATTGTGCTCAGCGCCTTTGGTAACTAGTCTGATAGACTCTGATTAGATCGACATTAAATCAAATCTGGGCACATGTATATTGGAAAGGAGTCAATCCAGCCGCAGGGACATGGGGCAAAGCTGGTCCCTGTCGTGCAGGAGCATGCCACAAAATCCACAAGTGTGGCAAGGCTTGGGAGAAAGTCCTAACTTTGAGGGGGTGCCACAAGGATTTCACCAGCTTTGAGGGGCATCACACAGACTTTTCCTATTAATTAGAAGGCGAAAATAAAAATAAAAAAATACACAACCTGAAAAATCAAAGAAATTACACAACCTCCTAAAGAGTCTTAGGCCATACTCACACAGAAATAACAATAGCAGCAGAAGCAACAACAACAGCAGCAACAGCAACAGGAACAGCAACAGCAACAGCAACAACGACAGCAACAACAGCAACCGCAGGAGCAACAACACCAACTGAAACAACAACAACAGCAACAACAGCAGCAAGAGCAACAGCAGCAGCAGCAGCAACAACAAACAGTGTAAGCAACAACAATAGCAGCAGCAACACAAACAGCAACAGCAGCAGCAGCAGCAGCAGCAACAAACAGCAGCAACAACAATAGCAGCAGCAGCAACAAACAGCGGCAGCAACAACAATAGCAGCAGCAGCAGCAGCAGCAGCAGCAGCAAAAGAAATAGCAGCAACAACAACAGCAGCAGCAACAACAACATCAACAGCAACACCACCACCACCACCACCACCAGCAACAACAACAACAACAACAACAACAACAACAACAACAACAACAACAACAACAACGACAACGACAACGACAACGACAACGACAACAACAACAATGACAATGACAACGACAACGACAACGACAACGACAACGACGACAACAACAACAACAAATGGCAGAGGAAAGCAAGAGACGAGGGGCCAGATCACACAGAGATGTTCGCACAGGGAAGTTTTGGACTGAATCTGTTCCTCGTTACGGACGCATACATTCATTAAAGTGCTACTGAGAATAGGCTCTGTGTAAATCCTTATTGGACCATTGTTAAGGTCAGGTACTGTGAGTAAACTGTGACTCAGGAAA